TTCAGATGTTCTAGATGCCAAAGTGGAGGAGGGCAACTTATGGCTGCTAAAGGGCACTGTAACTCAACACTATCTGGAGGATGACACCTTGGCCCTTAAAGTATCAGTTTCACAGTGTGGGTCCCTTGCTGGTTCAGTTTTATCATTAGTGGTTCAAATGGCTTCTGTGGTATGAAGTACCATTTTACCAGATCCAGCTGATGTACTACCTTAAAGGAGATAGCTTGGATGTGGTGTAGTGGCTTGAGCATTGAGCTGTGACTCTGGAGACCAGGGTTTGAATCCCTGCTTGGCCAGGTAGAACCACTGGGTGACTTTGGACAAGCCACACTCTCTCAACCTCTGAGGATGGCAATGACAAAGTCCCTCTGAAGAAACTTGCCAAGAAAACCCTGTGATAGGTTCACCTTAGGGTTGCTTTAAGTTGGAAATGATTTGAAGGCACACAACTACAACAAAGTTACCCATAGTCTACTCTTCAGACTACTGCAATGTATTCCACATAGGACTGCCTTTAAAAACTGCCAGAAAACTGCAGCTAGTCGAAGTAAAAAAAGAGGTCATTTGTGGGCCCAGTTTAAAGTGCAGACCTTAACTTGGACAGACCTTAATGAAAAGGTCCCCATCTTCTCTATACATCTCCCTGAAGATCTTCAGAGGCTCCGCATACCTCCCACCAACTATAGTGCACTGGGTGGCCAGTGAGAAGAGGACATTCTTAGTGGAGGCATCCCAGTGTGCAACAACTTCCCCAGAGAAGCTTGTCTGGTGCCTTCTTTAACATTTTTTTGTGCAGAGGTGGACAATGTGTGGCCATGGGGCCAAATGTTTTTGTGGTCCTCAACTCCACCTAGGCCTCCTTGCAGACCACCTTTTTGCTAGCCAAAAGAAAAGGATGATTTGTCTTTCCAGGAAGCCTAGAAGAGCAATAATTCACCTTTTAAATAGGTTCCTGCCCCCACCCCACTAAAAGTTATTTTCCTCTCCAAAAATCAGAAGTGGGCATTTGGACACATCCAGGTTTAATTGTTTCTTGATTTGTTTCTTTGAGGATTTTTGTCAGTCTGGACAGCCCCTGAAGAGTTATAGAAAATTGTCCTCTCAATGTGCCACAACTTCTCAACTCTGTTCAAGTGCCAGGGGAAAGTTTTTTGTTTGTTTTTTAAATTTACCTAGGCCATTCAACAACTTACATGTCAGAACAAACCAAAATCCCAGGTAGCTGTGTAAACTATACCTGTCTATTTCAGCTTCTTATTGATTTTTCTTCTCCAAAGGGGAAACTGTGATACTGCATTTCACTGCCATTTTTTTAAAAAAATGTTTTCAATTATTTCTTTGCATTTTATTACTGTGTTTTGTTTTGTTCTTTTGCTTTGTGAATCATCAAGAGAGCATGTGCAAATAGGAAACCAAATAAATCCAGTAATATTAATAATAGGTTTTGCAAAAGCATGGGAAACCTTTCAGAAGGATAACTCCCCAGTGGATTATGTCTCAAATTACTAAGCAATGAAGGCATTTACAGTCTGCAGTAGATACTACCACTTAAAGTGTGCAATAGGTTTATTATGCAAACACAAGGACTGCAATAACTTGGAGGATGGAATGTCATTTTCCCCATGAGAATTTCTTCCTAATGTTGTTTAGGTGGTGAACAGGATTGCTGAGAGATATCTCTGGGTCCAGGGCAAGATGGTCCCCATTCTCTAAATCTTCCTACAAACCTATACTGTTGGCCCTCTGTATCCATGAATTTTTTATTCACAGGCATAACAATAAGAATAAGAGATGGATCTCTATGTGGGGCACAATCTACATGGAATTTAATTGGGTCTTGTGTAGAAAAATACTGTTATCATTGTTGTGCATCTTCAAGTCATTTCAAATTTATGACAACCCTAAGATTAACCTATCATGGGGTTTCCTTTGCAAGATTTGATCAGAGGAAGTTTGCCATTGCCTTCCTCTGAGGTTGAAAGAGTGTAACATGCCCAGGATCACCCAGTGAGTTTCATGGCCAAACGGGGAATCGAAGCCTGGTCTCCAGTGTCATAGTCCAACACTCAAATCACTACACCACACTGGCATCTTAGGCCTAAATCAAATTATTAACCCCAACTAAACTAGATCCACTGACTCAATGGGATTTACATAAATATTGATTTGAACAGTTGATTCAAGGGGACACTATTTTGAAACTGGCAATTGGATTTAGCCTTACTCAATAGATTATCTCTCTTTATGACTTTATTAGAGCTCTAGGATTTTCTGGAGAGATCCTTCTCTCCATCTCCCCAACTTCTCAGCCCCCTTTTGTTAGAACAAGTGAGAAGACCTTCTTTGTGGCTGCTCTGGACTTTGGAAACCCTCCTTAGGAAGGCTAGGAGGGCTCTTTCCTTGTTCTCCTTTCACTGTGAAGTCAAAACATTCTTATGCCAACAGACTTTTAGAAACTGACTGCAATGAGTTTTAATGGTATGCTGTTTTATGGTTTGTACAGAGTCTTTCAATTAATTTTAATGTTTTTAAATTTATAAATTGTTCATCTTTTAAATAAATGTTATATTTATATTTTACTCAAGTTTTTGTACAGTTGTAATCTGTATTGTTTTTAATATATTGTAAGCCACCTTGAATCCCATTATTGGGAAAGGGGAATAACAACAACAACAAAATGGCAATAATAATAGACTCTGACCCATATGTGGGGACTGCAGAATGGATGTTCTGTTGGATCTTTTTATCTTAAGCAACAACATCTGTGTTTCCAAATAACATTTATTTGTAACACCCATTCCACCAAAGGGTGGTACATCAGAACATATACAATCAAAAACGAACAATAAATCTCAGTTCATCGACTGTGTCACACTTAACACACAAGCCCTGTTAGTGCTAACAGTTGTTTATGGTTACCAGGTTTGGTCTGGTCATATTGATGAAGACAACACAATTCTGTCTTCTAGCTTGATTTGTAACACTTCTGCCTCCAAAACAAATCTTCACTCTCACCCATAAAGAAAGTAAAAAGTTACATAAAAGCGCTAACTTATTGTCATTGCCTGAAATGTGAAATTAAGGCAATGTTCTCATAAAAATGCACCTTTTGTTATATTGGTTTATCCAGTTCAGCCATAAAGAATCCATAAAATGAACTAACAGAAGTATTACTGAAAACTGCAGAAGGCTTTCCAGATAGATAAGTTTGTCACACGGCACTTGCAGGAATGGGACAGAACGAAATGGAACAGCACGGAACAGGGCGAGAATACATGTTACCACACAGGAGAATGTAACCGATGCTGCTGGGAGTCCCCAAGCCATTCCTCAGCCATTCCTGCTAGCTGATTTTGAAGAATGGTTCAAAGTCGTTCTTCAAAATCAGCTGCCATAGGATGGATGGGGAACGGCTTTGAGATTCCCAGCGGCATTGACGGCGTTCTGTGTGGAAACACGCGTTCTCGCCCTGTTCCATGCTGTTCTGTTCCTGTTCCTGTTCCTGCTCCTGCAAAGGCCATGCAATAAACTTAAGAGTTCAGTCACTCGAAAATTCTGCATTACAAATATTTCTTCATTCGGGGATTTAAACTGTAATATAGTTTTCTATTGCTACTATTTATCCAAGATACTGATACTTTTTATACCTATCAACTACCACTAAGTTGTGGCAGGGGCACGGGGCAAAGAATTAGTATGCCCTAGGAAACCTGAAAGCTAGTAAGAGTATATATATATATATATATATGAAAACAAGCACACAAAAGGGAATCCTTCTATAAAAAAATATGCCAAAGAGGACGGAGAATGTTTACTGGTCATCAGAATCCATGAATAATGCAGATTTCACTTGTGTTTTTATAAAAATTAACTCAGTATAGTGATCTACTAATACTTGTTAATGCTGTGCCCTGCTTAGCTGGAGGTAGTACACATTCCATTGATGACTGGGTGTTGCCTATGGAGAGGAGACTATAAAGCCAGGCAATAATATTGTTTTCTCATGAACATGTTGATAGTTAAGGTTTCAATCAACTCTTCCACCTCCCCACTCCTTGTTTTCAAGCTAACAAAAACCAAGGCATGCTTTGATATCTTCAGGTTTAGCAAGTTGCTGCTCCACTGCTAACATGAGATATACCTGTAATTATGGCTTGAATAAAATGAAGGTATGTATACTTTCAGTATAGTATTCCGTACACTCTATATCAGGGGTAGGCAACCTTTTTGAGCCGGGGACAGGGTTGCTGTCCCTCAGACAATTGGGGGTCCGAAGCACCATAAATAAATAAATAAATAAATAAATAAATATAAAAATAAAATAAAATATGCATGCTCACTCTCTCAGTCCCAAAAAAGCTATGGCAAAACCCCTGTGGATTTTGCCAAGAAAACCCCAAGAACAAGTAATAACAACAATAATCAATATCATTATGGTAGGCGGCAGCGGCAGCAGGACCGGCCTGGGGCCGGTCCAAAGGCCTCAGGGGGCCGCATCTGGCCCTTGGGCCTTATGTTGCCTACCCCTGCTCTTTATAGTATTCTTATATGTAATACTACTGTATGAGCTACGTACACACATTGTATTTTATGTTCTTAAACCTGTTAAAAACACAGTCCTGTTCCAAATGACTTCACCTTTCCAGAAACTGTTGCTACACCCGCATGCATCTATCTTGTTCAACAGATCAGGCATTTTTGCAGTGGAAGCCAAGCAAAACCTCTACCAGAGATTAAAACTATCAGTTTCTTCCAACGGTGCCTGGTAACATCAATGATTGTGGTGAAACCTTCCCAGGTTTTACCATGAATTTTACCAGATCAGGCAGTGGAGCATCCAAGATGCAGAACTCTGTCCCTGAAATATCAGAGACCTTAGCTGCTATTGGGTTTCTAGTCAACAAATAATCATGAAGGATAAAACTCTGGGTGGCATCCTCTCTCTGTTTTGTGTGGCCACAACTCAATGCATCCAGAAGGAGAAAGGGGTTAGTTAGAGAACCAGTGTGGCATAGTGGTTTGAGTGTTGGACTACAACTACGGAGACCAGGGTTTAATTCCCAGCTCAGATATGAAACCCACTGGGTGACCTTGGGCAAGTCACAGGCTCTCAGCCTCAGGGGAAGGCAATGGCAAACCTCCCCTGAATAAATCTTGTCAAGAAAACCCCATGATAGGGTTGCCTTAGGATCACCATAAGTTGGAAATGACTTGAAGGCACACAGCACACACACATACACACAGAGGGGAGAATCTTACATGCAGAATATACAGGAATCAAAGCAAAGGATAGTAGATTGGACTGCTGATCTATGTTCCACACAGACACACATCCAGCACAGAACAGAATTACACATGGGGTATAAATAAATTAACTCTTCCTCCCACCCACCCCCAGGATTTGCACTAAACATTTGACCAGGGCCAGGTCACTGGGTTTGAGCGGTTTCACCAAGGGCAAATAAAATAAAATAAAATAAAAAATATGCTGCCTTTGGGCTATTTGACTCTATAATTAAACCCTAGATTTTTATCAAAGTGAAAAAATGACAGGAGAAGATAAAAGCAGTAAGCCGTGTCTGACCGACTCACAGTTGTGGGCCTATTGTGTCAACATTCTGTCAACATGACTGAGAAATAATGGAGTGGGACAGCACCACATTCCAGAGCCGGCACTTCAGTTTGAAGTGGGGGGAATCCACAACAGCCAGTTTCTCATGAAATTCAGTCAAGAAGGGTGACTGGCTTTGCTGCTTTACAAGTTTGCAGTTAGTCGGCTTTCAGGAGCAGAAAATGACCTTTTGTGCTGTGATGTGTGTGTGCGTGTGCATCAGCAAGTCACAGAAACCTGGGTTGTTTTTTTTTTTTTTTTTTTACCAAAATGGCTTTGCAGGACATACGTGGTCCACAAGGTGCATTTTACCCACTGCAATGTATTAAAACACTATATAAACAATAAGTGGTATTATAATCATTGAGAGAATATTCTCCTGTTTCCACCTGTTGTTACGTGCTTTCAAGTTGATTCCAATTTATGGCGACTCTTTCATAGGGTTTTCTTGGCAAAATTTCTTCAGAGGAAGTTTTGCCATTGCTTTCCTCTTAGGCTGAAAGAGTGTAACTTGGCCAAGGTTACCTTATGGGTTTCCATGGCTTAGTGAGGATGCAATAACTGGCTTTGCAGAGTCCTAGTCCAACACACCGACTATTACACCATGCTGGCTCTCTTCCATCAGTTTGTTGCCGTTGTGAGTCTTCAAACTGTTTCTGACTTACAGTGACCCTAAGGTGAAACTAACATAAGGTTTTCTTGGCAAGTTTTTTCAGAAGGGGTTTGCCATTGCCATCCTCTGAGGCTGAGAGAATGTGACTTGCCCAAGGCCACCCAATGGGTTTCATGGCCGAGTGGGGAATCGAACCCTGGTACTCCAGCAGAAAAGGTATCTCCTTACAGCCTGCTACAAAATGCAGTCTTTTCCTTCACTAGGTATCTATTGGCTCACTTCCATTGTTCCTTTTCTATGTGAGGTTCTATGTAATTTCTCTGGCACTTAAAAATACAGAAATACAGAGGGGTAGCCATAATATTCATTCCAAAATATTCACTTGAGTATTATGAGGCCAACCAAAAGGCCACACAACATTCTCTGTGCAAGCTTCTTCTTTTTTTGCATTCTCAAATGAAGAAGCAAATTTTATTGCTGTCCTTTTCTTGCCTTTGCTGTTCCCAGTTAGCTTGGAGCCATCAGAACTGTGGCTCAATAAAGCTAAATTGATAGCTCCCAGATACTTCTGCCCATATCATCCCAAGCCAACATGCAATGCCTACATGACTCTGGAGATTATCACATGGGAGGCTAAAGTATCTTTAAAGTGCCTTTAAATTGTCACTAATGTACAATCGGGGTTCACACGCTCGTGTGTTTGTTGTGTCTGTAAAGTGTCTATAAAGTGTCATGGACACATCCCAAGCTCCCAGCTTGCCTATCCCGTCGTTGCATTATTGGAAAATGCATTATTGGAAGATTGCATTAGTGGAAAGTGACGGCTCCAAGGACATGTTGCTGATGGGTTAGGTGAGCGGGGAGCCAGGGATGCGTCCATGACACTTTACAGAAAATTTACAGACACAACAAACGTGCAAGCATGTGAACCCCAATTGCACGTTTGTGACAATTTAAAGGCACTTTAAAGACACTTTAGCCTCCCATGTGATAATCTCCTCTGGCATTGCCATTTGGCTCTTTAAAAAATAAATAAAAACAACAACAACTCATCTTTGCCTTAGAAATACAGGTTTCTTGTTCACCTGTCAACTTGGTCCTTGGCTGGTGGTTCCTTTAAGACCCCGCTAGTATGCAAAAATATGAGTTGGGTGATTGGGAGAGGGAACGGCAGAGAAGTGTGTCTGAACTGGTTAAAATTCAGATAGTTCCATCATATCTTTATCATGTCCTTAATTTTGTTTAGTTAATATACAGAAATACATTTACCTAGGGAGAGAATGGGGGAAATTAGCTATAATTGGTTTTTAATACTAAAAGGAATAAGAAGAAATAGAATTTGAGAGCTAATGGAAGAGATATATACATCTGAAGTAGAAGAGATGGATATGGTAGAGATAAATGAGGACACTCGAGGAAACTGAATTAGGACAAGGTTCAGAGATACGTAAGGCCTCGGCAGACGGAGGCCCTGGAGCCGCCGCCGGACGGAGCACTGGCGGAGCGGAGCCTCCGCACCGCGGCACACCGTCGGCGCATCTAAAAGGAGCACCAAATTGGCGCTCCTTTTAGATCTAAGGGAAAGTGCGCCCCAAAAGCGGCGGGCGCACTTTCCCTGGCTCAAACGGCGCAGCGCATGTGGGCGCTGCGCCGTGAGGTCATCCCCGGTGCGCCGGCCGTGCGGACGGCCGGCGCTTCTGGGGGCGACCTCGGGGAGAGGAAGGGGCGCCGCTCGTGCGGCTGCCCCTCCTCTTCCCTGCCCGGAAGACGACTTTATTAGTCGTCTGCCGAGGCAGTAAGATAAGATTGATAGGGACAAAATCCTAAAGTATTATAAGAAATTATAAGGACTAAAGTGAAGGTGGTAATATAAGGAATAATTTATAAATAAGAGTAATTAGAGTTGAATGACTAAGGAATAAATAATTTTAACATTTGGGAATTGGTTAAAGTTTAAAGCTTAAATATTAACACAAATGGAGCATGGAATTAAACAAGACTCGAGCTATAGAGTCAATGCACAAGATAGGAAGAAGGATTGAAATTGTTTTTTTAAAAAAAACAAACAAACAAACAAAGGGAAAGTACCGGTAGATAAGAAGGACAAAAGAAGACATGGAATAATCCAGTAATGGTAAGAAGGAAGTCCAGAATGAATGATATGGATGAAGAAGAATGTATGGGAAAGGGAAGAAGAGGAAGGTATGAATGTGAAGTGAGAAGAAGGTGAGAGGATGTTGAAGAAGGTGAGAGAATGCCAAAGAAGGTGGAAGGATGTAGGGAAAAGGAAGGAATAGGTGACAAGAAGGTGAGAGGGTGTGTAAGAAAGAGGAGGAGAGGGAAGAGAGAAAGTAAAGAAGAAGATCTGAAATTAGAAAGAGATTGTGGGCTGTAAGTAGAGGAGACTTGGAGGGATATTGAAGGAGAAGTTAGAAAGAAAGGTAAAGAAGGGGATAAGGAAGGAGAATAAGTTGGGATAATGATAGAATAGTCACTGTTAGTATATAATTAGTTTAATTTGTTAAAAATTTGATGTATTTATTGTAAATAAATATTTTTCTGTTTCCCTTTGTTATTGTTGTTAATTTTGAATATTTGTAATGTTTGTAATGTTTTAAGTTTGTTTAATAAAATTTAATAAAAAAGAGGGGGGGGGAAAGAAATATATTTGATGAAGAAGATAACAGCAACAACAACAGGAGTGTCACTGCCACTAGCCTATCCCACTGGACTGTCACTGTTGCATGAAGTCAGGAGGAAAACTCTCACTTGTATTATTCTCAAACGTGGGAATGAGAAACCATTTTTTCCACTCCTTAACAAGAAAATGACAAGATGTTTTCTCTTTAATCTCAAGAGGGTCTTCTCACTAGCGAGAACAATTTTTGCACAATTTGTATTGAACCAACTGCATTGTTAGATTGTGACTGCTCGGCCTCATTGCACAGACTTTTAAAAAGTTAGAAGTGGTGAATTAGTTGTTTCAACTTTTTGATCTATGAACCTGTCCACTATTGCTCACTCTCTGGGCATGCTTTGCTTCACACAAGGAAGAGTCATTAGTTTCGCACACAGACATTTTGCACAAATTATAGAAACCACAATACACTAAAAGAGCTTGTCTCATGTTCACACTGGAGGTAAGAAATCTCAGCAGGATGAATGAACTCTAGACATCAGGAATTAATAATTTAGCAAGAATAATTTAGTATCTGTAAGAAATAGCAATAAAGCATTTATTGTTTCAAAGGAGAAAAGTATGGGAAAAAACCCCTCTGTTTCATCATGTCAGAATGGTAAGTTCTATCCCTACACAAACTGAACAGCATTCACCTTCTGTATCTGCAACAGTGGCTGCATAGATCATGAAAACCTATGGATTGCTCTTAAAGACATGGGAGTGCCACTACTACTGATAGTTCTGATGAGAAATCTGTATTTAGGACAAGAGGCTACTGTCAGAACGGAATACAGAGAAACAGAATGGTTCCCAATTGGCAAAGAAGTCAGGCAAGGCTGCATACTATCACCATGTTCAACTTGTATGCAGAAAATATACAAAGAACAGGTTTAGACCCGGAAGAAGGAGAAATGAAGACAAGAGGAAGGAACATCAACCATCGAAGATATGCAGATGACATCATATTATATTTATTTATTTATTTATTTATTTATTTATTTGATTTATATGCTGCCCTTCTCCCCAGAGGGACCCAAGGTGGCTCACAGATAAAACATTTAAAATCACATAAAATTCAAAACAATGAAAACATCTATATCCAATATAAAATCACATAAAATATACATGTTAAAAACAACTCCTCTCAAAATAAAACCAGGCTTGCATG